TTGCTCTGAGGTGCTTCCGTGTGTACTTCCTGCTCCCCACCTGGATCCTGACTCCAAGATGCATTTCAGAGAGTTTCTCTGACGGGACACACTTGAGGGCCAGAAGACTTGTCACTTTCTGTCTCATCACCTTGTTCTCTGTTCTTGTTTGGACTCATCACGGTGTAAAATCGTCTTTATGTGCTCATTTGTGTAATGAAAGCATGGACTTTCTCCCAACTAAGATTTTTCCTCTGTTCCTAGAACAGTGCGTGTCACGTAGAAGAACAATAACTTTGTTAGATGTATGAAAAACATTCTGAGTTTTGAGCAGAATGGGGCTAGAACTTTTAAGCAGAATATGTTCAGAGCCTGCAGCTGAATGTGGCTGCTAAAGTTAGGGACAGACATCTTCAAGCTTTGCCACTTACAAGATAACATTTCCTGTCCATATATGAGCTTTTTGGGTTCATCTAAAAAGGGGGCGTACAAATCTATAATTCTCCAGGTACAATTTGGACTAAACATGATATGTTTATATTCAACTTTTTTTCTCTTTCAACTTATGGTTCAAAATACAGGACTAAGCAAGATTTGAAAGGTGAATAAAAAAGGAAGCAGGAGAATCTGAGACTAGTTTCAGCCTTGCACGGGAATTTTTTTAGAATTTTGTTAACGTAATATTTCAAATTCACGGATAACAGATTGATTATTCAACAATGATGCCGAGAAAACTAGTTAGCCTTTGGGGGGCAAAATGTAATGAAAACGCATACTTCGCTGAAATCAATTTCAGACAGAGTAGTGAATTTCATATTAAAAAGTAAAATTCTGACAACAGTTGAAGAAAATGGAAGTGAATATTTTAGAATCTTTGGTAGAAGACAACTTTCTATGCATGATATAAAGCCAGAAGCCATGGGAATTGCTCGGCAAAGCGGCCTACAAAAACATTAAAAATCTCTGTGAAGAATAAGTGTCACAAATAAAATTGAGACATAAAAACCTGGAAAAACACACTTATAAAACAGAATTATATTTACACACACAACGCTCAGGCGGACCCAGACACAGACATGGACATGCACATATCCTCACACTAACATCTCTTCCGATTCAGTAAAGAGGATCTTGGCCTTCCTAACACAGATGGTACAGGTGGTCCAGCCATTCGTCTCTCACTTCTTCCTCATTTCCTCTTTTCCAGTGCATCAGAGCTCCCCACTCACGGGCTGAGGTGTCCTCAGAAACAGTCTTCGCTGCATCCTTGAATCTGCACCAAAAGCACAACACTCAGTCGTGGTCACCGTGATCTGAGTTGTAGCGTCTGGCCATCCTGGGAAGTACTTTCTCTCTAATTAAAAAGGCTTTATAATAGGAAACATTGCTCACCTGTTTGCCTTCTTTGTCATATCCACCTGGAAACAGTATTTTATTCCATTTGAAGGATAAGCCAGAAGTTCCAAGCTTGAAGACCATGTTCGCCTGCTAAGGAGTTCAACTCCATATTTACTTTGAGAAACAACTAATCATGCCAAAAGCTGAACATGATTTCATACTTCATCATTTTTTTCTAATGGCCATTTCAGCTTTCTTTTGTACCCTAGAAGCCTAGACAGGTCACATCTGTCAACTATCTATACAATTTTTAAAAATTGCGAACATTTCCAACATTTGAATTAACTATCACTCAGAAAGCTAAGCAGATGAGTCTGCCATTTGTGAATCTGCTGCCAGTCAGCCCATACAGTGTGTTTCATTGACAGTTTCTGATTCTTCCAGTAGCCAGGCTGCATAATATGTCGTATTCAGGAGATCTGGTGTCCCTGTCAAATAGGCAGTCTGGGTGATGTACAATGTCCTCAGCAATGCTGTTGTATTAACTCCATACACAGCCAAGTCCTGTTTTGACCAAGTAAAGCTCTGACTGTCTGCTTCCTGGGCCACCTGTGCTCAATGCCCTACGGTCCCCACAATGCTCTTCACTACTGTGGGCCTGGACTGAACATCTGCCCCTCTTAGACCATTTTGTTTGTTCTCTGAAGTGCTTCTCTGTCACTGGTGAACTCTCTGTGCCTTCAACTTCCTGTCTCAGAGTTTCCTCCATCTTTTGAACTGAGCAGTGCCTCCTTTCTGAGGATACCATTTGAGCCTTTTTCTGCTTCTTTTTTAAATCCTGGGCATAACTCATGACCAGGAATTAGGGTTTGGTGTGTTTGGGGTGTATTTATGAATCTCCATTGTTCCTTCCAACCCATTACTTTCCAAGCTCAGTAAAAGTACCATGACTTTGTTTAGTTCAAGCCATCTATTGAAGACTGTATTGCCCAGTTTGTGGTCATCATCGTCTGTGTCTGCAGAGCTCACGGAAGGCTCCTGGGGGGTTCTGATATTCTCACAACTCTCTTTCACTCATTTTCACAATCTGCTTTCACCTCTCTTTGATAATCTGGGTGAGGGTCCATTCCTAACATTATGCAATCACCTGCAATTTCTTTTCCTCTAAAAATACGTAACTCAAAACCTACACTCTTTACCATCCCCTTGAACAAGCTCAGCTTACTTATTCAACTGCCCATTTTGCAGTTTCTCAACACCATCTGCATTGCTTGTCACTTCTTGTTCATTTATTCCTTTGTATGCCAACAAGTATGCTTCATTCCTCTTCCACAAGATCGAGTTCCATGATTCACCATTTTGACAGCATTCTTACTACTATCTTAAATTTCCTTTCTTTCTCTTCCTCCCATTATGTTCACTTGGAAATGTCCCAAATTTGGATCATCTTGACTATTTAGTTTTTTTCCTGCTTCACGGCATTAGCTGTCAGGGTTCTAGTATCACGCCCTCTTTTTCTCTCCTTCCTCGGAGCTTCTCTCAAACTTCTCAACGTAATTCTTTCACATTTTCCACTTCCTTCCTTCCAGTTTACTCCTTAATGTAGTCCTGTCAGAATTTTGACCTCATCCTTCTGCCAGAACAGTATTTGGTAAAGCCACAAATGTCTCCATCTTCCTAAATCTTTCAGGCAATTATCAGTAATTTATTTGAACTTCCAGCAGAATGTTGCCCTTTTGACTCAACCTTTCTGAAATGATCTCTCTTATTGGTTGCTGTGTCATAACGTGTTTTGTTTCATTCTTCTCTGGTCACTCAATCTGTTTCTTTTTGGGGGTTCATTCTTCTCTAGTTATCAGAAACAGAGCATTACCAAGAGTCAGTTTCAGTGGTCTTCTCTCCTTATTTTATACTGTACCTTCTATCGTTGGGTTCCATTTGGTATCTGTCAGAACTAGTATTATAGAAAAGGATAATTAAAGGAAAGTTTTGAGTTTTTACAACTACTTTATACAACTGTATAAAATGGCATTTTTTCCTTAAAAGGAAAGCTGCTTTAAATTCTGTCAGTTGGCAATATGACTGTAACTTGTGATTTACAACTTCATAGGCATAAAATGCTTTTCTGTTTAAAATAATGTTTAATGATCAATATATAAAGAAAATTATACACATTCTACAGGGAAGAGAAGATCTAAAATATTGTTGCTCCACTTTCCTTCAAAGTCTGTAAGTCTTTTTGTCTGAATACTCATATAATTCTTTTCATTCAAGATAATTTCACTTCTGAACCAGTTCACATTTGAAGTGCTTGAGTTGGTTGATTCTTCGTTAACCTATTTTAAAAGATTTTTTAAAAATGTCATAACAAAACAAGGTAGAATGCTTTTGGGATACAGTAAAACAAAGTGGAAGTTAGCCGTGAATTTAAGTTAACATAGTAATATCTCAGGGAAACTTGAAAGTCCACAAAAAGAGCACCACCTCCTGGGGAATACTCTCTCTCTCTCTCTCTCTCTCTCTCTCTCACTCTCTCTCTCTCACTTTGTATGCCAGCCAACAATTATGTTTCATTCCTTTTCAACAAAATCAAATTCCACAATTTGCCATTTTGACAACATTCTTACTGCTATTTTAAATTTCTGTTCTTTCTTTCAATGGTACAGTCTCCTGTTACACTGGAGTTCCTTATCAACTTCGTGTATATAAGGGAGTGGTGAGAGACAGAAAACATGATGACCAGCACCAGATGGGGATGAAAATACAATTTAGGAATTTACAATATTTTTCTTGGAGGTGAGAACTTTTGCCACTGCTTGGAGAATTTCTTCTTATATAGAAGGAAGAGTAAGCCTGAATATCCCAGTTCTTGGGAAACTGAAGAAGGAGGATCATAAGTTTGAATCCAGCCTGGGCCACATAGTGAGATTCTGTCTCAAAACAAAACAAAATAAATCTTTTCTATGGTGCTCTGGATCAAACTCTGACTTCATGTATGTTGAGTAGCTGCTCTCATTTTAGCTTGCTCAAACACTGTGAAACCAGTAAAACTCTTTTCACTTGGTGCTTGTTGATCTAAATAGGACTTTTCTTGATACTCTTGGAGAAGGGACAGTTTGGTTGGGGTATGAGGAGGCAAGAGAGAGAGAGAGAAAGAGGAGGGAGGGAGAGAGAGAAGTGAAAGCACATAGTAGGACAAGTTTTCTATCACAATGTACCAACTGGTTTGAGCCTACACCTGTAAGACAGTAAGAACTACAACCATGAGAAATACTTTTTATTAGATTTAAGCGAATTTAAATACAAATTATTCTTTTTTGATGGTCCAGGTAGGATAATGCTGTTTTTATGCACTTTGCCTGGAACATGGTTCCATTAGAACCCCCAGATAATGACTGCAAAACATTTGGAAACTAGATACTGATTGGCTCATCTAGGCTACTTTCAACTGGGTTCTATAAAAGTACCTTTAAAACCTCCATTTATCAATGTTCTACAATGACTGTATTCCGTATGTACTACTAATAAAATAAATTTAAAAATAAAAATAAAAAATAGCACTGTACAACCCTTTAATAAAGTATCTCTAGGCTATGGATATGAAAAAACACTGTATAAACCAGAGAGAAAATGCACAAGCATGACAGATACAGCATGGTGATTTTTGCTTACAAGTTGATCTACTTTGGGTTTTCACATCCAGCCATTTCCAGAAATGTCTGTATGGAGACCTGGGGAGAGTTGCTACAGCTAGAACAAAAGAAAGAGGAGTAGAAATGGAACTCAAAGACATTTTCAATTAGTCTTCATAAGTGGATGAAACATCATTGGTGTCCATTGGACCATAAGGCTAGGCAAAGCTATAGCATTGCGCTCTTTTACATCAATAGAGATGTGTGAAGACACACCCACTGAGTGTTAAACAGCTGTTCATACGTTGTCCTAAACCAAATTCAAATAGTGATAGTTTGAGCTCTGTCTTTTGCTCTCCAGCCACATGATTTCAGGGCAGGGCGATTTGCTTTCATAAAGTACATTAAGGGAAATATAACCCATTTTAATTCACGGCTAATGCACATCAGGAAAGTATATCCCATATTCCTATCTGTGGAGTGCAAGCTGCTCAGGGCTACTGTGTCTTCAGGATGTATGTGTGGAGTCACCATTAGTATTTAATAGAAACTGGGCATGTGCATCAAGAAGGTAATATTACAGTATTCAAGAATGTGGAAAGAGCTATATAACATTAAGGCTTTTCTTGTGGAATAGACATAAAAATGATTGAAATCTTGGTTTAAGAAAAAAAGTATTCATTTTAAGTGTCTTCTTTGGTGGTATTTATAGAAATAGCTTTTATTCTTTTACCAACAGCTTCTCTAACTGTTGAAAAAAATAAATGACCTCAATATGATTCCATATAATGTATAAACTCTTAGCCTGTGATTGTTCCAGGCACTCTTCAAGTATGAATAACAGTTGCTTGGGATCTGGAAGAGAGGTCAAGAGTGTCCTGCCTAAGATTTGCTTTAAATTGACGGAGTTAAAAGGGTGTTGTGTGTCTGTGCATGTATTTGTGCATATTTGTGTGAATTAATTCCATACAACATTAAGATATGGAGGTAAAATATGGTCTAAGTGAAATAAAAAATGCTTCATTTTCTAAATTCTGATTTGCTTAGCATATGTCTTTTCAAAGTTGTTAACCTAACCCCCAAAATAAATAAAGCATGTTTCAAGTGTTTCTTTTAAAAATTTCCTTTTTCTATTTCCAGACAGATAAAACATAATTTATTTTAAAAACATTTTAATAAACCTGGAATTGATGAAAATGAAGAGATTTAAAACATTCTAATTATCTTCCATAATTACCACTAGGCCTAATACAATGAAGCTTTAGTGGCCTCCGTTCCATTTTCAAAGTCATACTTACCTGGGTCCTCATATTCGAATCCGGTAAACGCTCCGTGGACTGCGTTCACAACGCTGTTTCTTCAGCTGAGGCGTTGGGTGGGGATCTGGGCTGGAATCTCTTAAACGCTTGATGTCGTCACGCTGAGCTACAAGGAGGGATAGTTTGAAACCCCCACCGGAGAAGACATGGCCTTTTAGACCTTATGCCTTCAGAGACTCCATGCACTTGGTTAGAAGCTGTATTGTTAGAGTCAGATAAATTAGCACTTGATTCTGCCCAGCACTGTGCCTTTGCACTTTATTTTATGCCGAGATCAGGGTAATTACATTTTTAAAATTAAATTTTCTTTCTCAAACACCACATGTGCTGTTTTGATTGTGATGTTGTGAGGAAATTCCACTTCTAAAGAAGTCAATCCTATTATTATTTAAATCTATCTGAATTGCACAGTCTCCTGTTGTACTGGATTTCCTTATAGTAAATCATAAAAAAATGTGGCCTTGGCTATTCGTGGTTCCATGATTTTTGAAGTAATTCATTTAAAATACTTGTTATTTCTTTATACCCTCTATAAACAATTATCTTGGGATTTTAAAAAAGTCTACAAAAATAAACTAAGTACTAAATACTACCAAAAAAACATTTATATCAGTCCCAACCCTATGTGTTCTTCCTGTGGTTGTTCCCACCCATTGTCCTCTTCTTTATCCTTACTTAAAAGGATGTAAAACACAGTTCCTGTGTTTTTCTTCATTTTTAAATATCCTTTTCTTTTAAAAATTCTTAATATTAGTAGAGTCTTCAGTTACTTGTTTCTTGGCTTAGGCAAGGTAAATTCATCTAATTTTGGCATCTCTTGCTTATAAAGGCTTTTCCAGCAGGTGGCACTAAAGCACTGTGAGAAAGTTGAGTCGCAACTATCAATTTTAAAATGTCACCTGGAAAAAAATTCTCTGAGGGATCATGAGGTTGCTACAGGTAAAGAAGCTGTGTTTGCAAACAAAGAACATTTTGCATTTGGAAGATCTTAACACTGCATGGATTTAAACTACTACCAGTAGTTTAGTTAAACCTTTTGACTACAAAAGAAATCAATATTGTGGAAATAGTAGGAGTTCTTACGAATACTCGACTGTGTTGGGAAGAATTAATTGAGACAATCTTTGTCTCCAAAGGTTTTGCTAAGTGTTGTATGAAATATTATGTTAGATCTGTATAAAATCAGAATTAAAAATGTATTTATTGCTATCCATATGGTTATGTTCTCATTTTGGCACCAGGGAATTGGTATGCATACTCTAAGTCCTATTAGTGTTAATGGGAATTAGATGTATAAATCCCCAAGTCCCAGTGCACAGAGATGAAAATCTCCACAATGACTTAAAATCTGTATTTGTACTGCCTTTGGTTATGCAGAAACTGGAAGTGTGGTGGCTGTTCTTACATCTTTAAATTGAGTAGGGTAAGTTGCACCTGAAACAACAGAACCAGAAGTGTTTTTTTTTTTTTTTTAATTCCAGTTAAACATTCAGTTTTGTGTGATGATCAATTCGGAGCCAAAAGCTAGAGAGGTTTCTAGAATTGCCAACTCTCAGTCCTGGAAGTCAGCCATCCCCAAAGAGCTACTACAGCTGTTCCCATAGTAGCAAAGGTTGCTCCTGGGTCTAGCTTCCAAGAACAAAAAAATCTTTTTGATGCCAGAGCTCGCACATGAAAAGGAGCGTTTTCAGCCTTCTCCCTGACCTTTCCCTAGAGGCTTCCTCAGCTTCACACAGTGGGACTGCTCAGTCTGACTGGCACCCGGGGCTCCCAGGTCCTCGGAACATTACCTGGACTTGAAGCTGCTCTACAGTGGCCCAGTAGAAGCGAGTTCTTTCCATAATGCCCCAGGCTCGGGCAGCAAGCAGTGGCCTGCAGGTCCTGATTGACAGTACTGCTTTGGCACTGAATCAGGAAAGTGAAGGGAGAGTTTTGACAGCTGGGAGATCCCCGCCCCGCCTTGCAGCCCTGGGAGATTTGTGTGTGTGTGTGTGTGTGTGTGTGTGTGTGTGTGTGTGTGTGTGCCAGAAGAGAACCCTAGCATCCAGGAATGCAAGGAGCCAGCCAGTCTTTCTCTCAGCTGACTGTCTTTCCTGGCTCTGCTTTCCTGAGCTGCGCACTACTAAATGACTAATAAGTAAGATTGCTTGAAGAATCTGTGTGGTCTCCATGCAGCTGCATTCTCTGCCGAGGGTTTTCTGACCTTACTTAGAAGCTCTTGAGAACATCCTTCCCGCAGCTGGAGACTTCAGTTTTCAGTCAATGGATAAGTTGATTGGCCAACATTTATTGAATGGCTCCAAGGTGGCCAGTACTCTTTCACTCTGATTACATGAGGGTGAAGAGTCCCACTCTTTTTCCATTTTTTTTCCTCAAGGCTCGTGATTCTAACTGGCTTTGAAAGGAAATAACCTTTTATTTCCTTTCCTCTTCCTGGGTTGGCTGTATCAACGACTGCTGGCATTACTTGCTGTATTTGCCAAGGTAATAATTGTCACATATGAGTCTAGCCTTCGTGTTTAATGAGTAGGTTTTATGAGGCACGACTGGAGACAGTGTATATTTTAGATAGGAAACTCTCTTTGGTTTTAAGAAAAAAGATGAAAAGGAGTCTTTTACGCTCACCTGGAAATTCACTGTCCTTTATATCATCCGGGTTTTTAGTTTCTAAAGTAAAAGAAAATATTTTCTCTTCTCTCTTTCCCACTTCATGCTCAAGACAGAATGGAAAACTGGAACAGCAGCCCACGTGTTGAGTAATGATGTGCTTCACTGATAGGGCAAATTGGCTGTTGACAATGGCTGACTGCAACCGACACTGCCTAATAAGGGAAAGAGGCCTTTTATTGATTACAGGACAAAAGCACCCAAACTGAGTTTTGTCCCTTTAACTTATATTGACTATAAAATGGCGACCTTGCATCCCTTAAGTCTGAATTTAGTCTGATATTACAATTACATTTACTTTCTTTCTATTCATGTTCCTTAAAAGGGAATATAAATTTATTCACAGGGGGGAAAAAATCCACACCTCTTCTTAGAAGGTACTTTGCCTGGGAATATTTACACATTCCCATGTGCAGAGAAAAGCTCAAAGAAAGAGATACATGTACTTTAATTTTTAGGTCACTGTTGAATTTTTTTGATTTGAGGTCACTGCCTCCTCGTTGAATATATAAAGTATTTCTTTAGCACAGGATCCTGAATCTGTATTTCATTTACCATATTTAAGTCTTTAATCCTCGAACACTGCTTTAAATAACAATCCACTTACTAGATTCCAGCTTCAGGTCACCGTTCAATGAGAGGTGACAGGCAGTGAAATCAGAAGGACTCACTGCCAGGTAATAATGGATGTCAAAGAAAGCCTGCACTCCTCACGAGCAGCCAGAGTTTATCAATTATCCAGTAAACAAATACTTTCTGAGCACTGCACTAGGCAGTGACCGAAATAATCACCATTCTCAGAAAGTTGTCACTGTTCTCAGGGGCTCCTGGTCTAGCGAGGCGGGTTGATAGAGAGCAGTTACAGGAGCTAGTAACTGCCGTGCACCTAGTGATTCTAACTGTCACAGACCTGCTAAGCACCTGGTAGTCACCATTTTGCTAATTTCCAAAACCACCTCATGAAATATAGATATCATGATCTTGTTTTTATCAATAACACAATTAAGTCTCAGAGAGGTGACAGCACAGGGCCAAGGTGTACCTCACTAAGGGACAGAGGCATGGATTAACCCAGGATTGGCACACGGCTGAGCTGGAGCCCCTTCTCTGCATCTTGCTTGTTCCTTCTCTGGGGAATGGAAATGATCACATCATGTTTTCTTCCCAGAACACTGAGGGGAACAGGTAAGAAGACTTCACAGAGAAGGCACTGCTTGGGACTGGGGAATAAATTTTCTCTGCATTTTTCATTGGCTAATTAAGAAAAGAAAAGAAGTGCTGGAGTGCTGCTAGGTAGTTTATATTTTATTCCATTTCAAGTTGGGAAAATACCTTGCTTCAAAGCTTTGTTTTTGTATGTATTTTTTTGTGGGGTGGATCACATTGTAGGCAATTTGAAGAAAATGTTTATAGTTGTACAGGCTGAGAATCTGGTCCTTCCCCAACACATATTTTAACATATAGCAAAACACAGCCACAATATAGTCCTGCTGTTCACCAAGCAAAGCCCGATTCTGGGACATATAAACAGGAGTGTAACTACAGAAAACTTGAGTCAATCCTCTCACGGTCCTTAGCCTTTGCGATGCTGTCATTAGAGCCTCATGTGTACAACTGGCTGAAGTAATTTAAGCAAGATATGTGGAAACAGAGAATTCGGAGGGGGAGAGTCAAGAATGGGGTAGAGCAATTCCTCAGTCAGCTGCATGTAAGAAAAGAATTCATTTCAACAAACACTCATGTGTAAGGTACCACAGGAAAGGCACCGTCCAAGCCAGTTGGATGCACATCTATTTTACTATTTAACAGGCCTGTCATTCCTAGCCTTGTTCTGGACACATAGGAGGACCTCAGTCCATATGCCATCACTTGGATCAATGGCCTTAGTATTTGGTAAGGATGCAAAAATTACAGAAAGCCTGCAATATAAAGAAGAAGATATAAATAGATGTGGTGAATCTGCCAAAGAGAAGGGAAGGATCCATTCAGACTGGGTTATCACTGAAGATGTTACAGAGAAGAAGCAAGTCAGATGTCCGAGTGGAGAACTGTGTACAGGGTGGTGTGAAAATGGAGATGTCTGCTTCTGGGCTCAATCTATGAAATGGCATAAAGATGGGATAGTTTAGGGCCATGGTTGTGAAAGGCACAGTAGCAACCCTGTGATGTAAAGTTCATGGGAAAGAACAAGATTGAAATTAAGGTGAGTGTCAGGTTGAAAACTTTAGGCGCTAGACAGCAGAGGGAATTAGAAGTAAAGATTATCAAACTAAGCTAAGATCAAATTCTGTAGTGAGTAAATATGCAACTTACAAACATGATCGTGCTTAATTCTCAAAACTACTAAGGCTTATGGTGTTTACTGTTTCCGAGGGCACATATCTTATTAACAGTATAACGTAATGTCGAGTGAAATAAATCAGATACATAAGCTTAAATACAGCTTATAGGAGGGCTATAAATTATAAATAAAGAGCAAACTAAAAGATAGAAAATAGGAAGCAGAAGATAGATCTTTCTCAAATGGGAAGGGGACCAAGAGATAGAGAAAGGGAAATGAAGGGGAGGAAAACAGACGAAAGAAGAAATTACATTGTGTGACGCGTGTGTGCCATCTTCACACAAGCAGTGTAAACATTTTGGACTGCAAAGATATCCTAATAAAAATAACAAATCTTTCTGAACACGGATCTGCCCGATCCAGATCCAGGTTAACCAGCTATTAAACCAAACTCCATCAACTGTCAACCGTTTTCTTGGAGGAATAAACGACACAACTGGAACAATATTGTAAGTCAGAAAGATGCACTAAGAATATGGGGAAGAGGCAGTAATAAAACTAGTACGATTACCGTGGTGGTCCAAGTACAATATTGTTTAGAATGTACTGGTAAAAATGGGCCTTGAGGTGAAAAAAAGGACCAGGATGTAAAGCAGGGTCAAAGGCAATCTATCAACGACTCAGTTTAAATATAGGAATGCAGTTATCTTTAGTGCTATTAGCCAAGTAATTCAGGTTTTTTTTTTTCCTCTTTTCAGACACACTAAATGTACTATCTGCCCTGTGTTTGGGTAGGGTCATGTGGTTAATTTGCAATAATAGGTTTTATGTAGCAGTGAAGTGTGCTACTTCTTCCCTGCCAATTTAATCATCAATGTATGACTGCTCAGAGTTCTCTCTTTCCTCCGCAGTTGTGACAACTTCTCCTGGTCCTTGAGTGCCCACAAGGAGCAGAGGCCTGTTGACCTAAAAGGGACCTGTGAATAACAAAGATCCCTCAGCTGCTGCAAACCACAGTTCAGGTTTATAGTTTACTCCCATAAACATAGCATGGGTGTCTTAGTTACTTTGCTTTCATTGCTGAGACAAAATATCTGACACCCAAAGTTGAGGGAGGGAAAGCTTATTTAACTCACAGTTTGTAGAGCTTTGAGTCCATAATCGGCTGGTTCCAAGGCAGGGTGGATGGCAGACCGGCATCACAGAGGGGAAACAGTTTGTGGTGGGTAGAAGGTACTGAAGCTCAAGGGCACCACAGCCCTTATATCTTATCCAGGCTACCCACCCTTGGGGCAGGTAGCATCTACACTCTTACTCCTCATGCTTTGGATCCTAGCACTGCACCATGAATAGATCCCAGGGTCACACAAACTAGATCCAGCTACCTCTGAAAAAGCCCCAGCACATGAGGTTTTGGGTGGACATCTAGACACAGGCCAGAACAACAGGCCATGAGGGAACTAGCTAAGACTTACGAAGTGCTGACTGTGTGACATGCACTTTTCAAGAGTTATTTTAATGAGTTCTCAGGAGGAATCAATTAGGTAGACACGGTTTTTATCCCTCCATTTAGTGAGGATATGAGATGTCTCATTGTTTTTTTTTTTTTTTTTTTTTTTTTTTTTTTTTTTTTTTGTTTTTTT